ACCATAATCATCGTCACCATCATCATCATCATCACCACCACCACACCATCGTCATCATCATCATCATCATCATCAGCATCACCACCACGAACATCATCATCGCCATCAACATCATCACCATCACCATCAGCATCAGCTTAACATCATCATCATCAGCAGCAGCATCATCAACATCGTCGTCATCATCATTATCAGCAGCATGATCACCATCAACAATAACACCATCATCACAATCATCATCAGCAGCAGCACCATCCTCCTCCTCCTCCTCCTCCTCCTCCTCCTCCTCTTCCACCTCGTTGTCAGCGTGAAACCTTCGCTCTTGCTCCTCGTCCCCAGTTCGTCTTCTTGCGCCTCGCACTCTTCCTCGTCATCCTCCCTCCCATCGCCACCTTCTCCTCCTCCACCCGTTGCTCCGTATCATCATCCCACCAGCCCTCTGGGCGTAGGTGGTTTCGAGAGTTTCCTCCTCCACCCCCTTTCTTCCCCCGTCGGCGAGGGGTTTACCCCTCCCCCCAACCCCCTCCCCTGGACCTGGGCGGGGGGGGGCGGCGAGTGGTCAGGGCGTCCAAAACGGCCTCGGCGAGGAAGCCAACATCATTGGCTTTACTACTGTTTGGGCCCCATTCGGGCCTCTTGGGGGGAGGGGGCAACGCGAATTGCAACCATCCCCTTCTTTGATCGATGTCCTCCAAGATGGCCCTAAGAAGCGCCCTTGAGGCCCCAAGAGGCCCCAAGATGGCCGCAAGATGGCCCCAAGAGGCCCCCATGAGGCCCCCAGGAGGCCCCCAAGAGGACCCCAAGCGACCCCAAGAGGCCCCCCCGAGGCACCCAAGACGCCCAAGAGCCTCCCAGGACCGCCAAGAGACCCCCAAGACGTCCCCAGAGGCCACCAAGAAGCGCCCAAGAGATATCCCAAGAGGCTCCGAGAGGCATCCAAGAGACCCCTGGCCTTTTTGCTTGCCCTTCCTCCTCCTGCTCATCCTTCCTCCTTCTACTCCTTCTCTTCCTTCTCCTCCTCCTCCTCCTCCTCCTCCTCCTTCTCCTCCTCCTCCTCCTCCTCCTCCTCCTATTTCGGGAGCGGCCAAGAGGGTGGTGTCCAAGAGGGGGGGGTGCAAATCATGACCGGTGGCATGTGCGCGGCCCAGCGGGGGGGCCAGGGACGTAATGGAATAAGAAAAGGCGCCATGAACTCTGGGGAAATATCATTGCCGCCGCTATGATATCCCCCCCCCAGTCATCACCCCCCTCTTTGCCGCTCCCGACTATTTATCTTCCTTCTCCCCACTCGCCTTCTGTGCCTCCCGGGTTCGACGAGTTCCGAAACCCTGGGTTCGTGTGTTCATTGTTTCACGGGTTCGTTGTCTTTCCGCTCTGGGGTTCGCGCCAGGGTTTCCTTGGTTTTGCTCGTTTTCTTGGGTCAAGGTTTTCCTGGGTAGAGAGGGTTAGCGCAATTTGGCCCGAGGGATGTGCGCGGACGAAGGAGGGGAGGATGTGATAGATAAAGGAAGAGGAAGGGACCTTAATACTTGGGGAGACTTCGTCGCCCCAGCCACGACATCCACACACCCCTAATCGTTACACCCCCCGTCGGCGCCCTCAGTGGGGGTTCCCTGGGAGAGCCAGGACGGCATCAATGCCATGCTGGACGGACGACCCGCCGAGCGCGATACGGTTGGGAGTGCCGGGCATCTGACCAAAGGCGGATGAACAACACGCACACTTTGCGAAAAACGGCGCGCACGTCACTGATACGCCTTATGCCGCCCAAGAAAGCCCTGACACCCTGCCCGATGCGATGATTTCCATCCGCGGATCCCAAATGTCCCGACCGCTTCACCGCGAAGGGTCTTCCATAACCCCCCTGCAATAATGTGAAACTGATGATTGTTCCGCGGGCTTCGTGGCGGACGGGGGCCCCAACAAGAGCTGGAAAAAAATGTTCCACCGCGGCGGCCACCGCCCAGGCCGTTGCTATAGTCGTCGACGACGCCGGCGTCGTCCTCGCACTCGCACACATACGCTTAATTCCAAAAACTACTACAACTCCTACTCCTACTCCTACTCCTACTCCTACTCCTACTCCTACTACTACTACTACTACTACTACTACTACTACTACTACTACTACTACTACTACTACTACTACTACTACTACTACTACTACTACTACTACTACTACTACTACTACTACTACTACTACTACTACTACTACTACTACTACTACTACTACTACTACTACAACTACTGCTACTACTACTAATACCACTACTACTACTACTACTACTACTACTACTACTACTACTACTACTACTACTACTACTACTACTACTGCTACTACTACTACAGCTACTATTACTGCGACTACAACTGCGACTACGACTACCACTACGACTGCGACTACTACTACTACTACTACTACTACTACTACTACTACTACTACTACTACTACAAAGACTGCTACGACCGCTACTTCTACTACTACGACTGCGACTACTAC